TTGGTCTCCCAACATTCTCTCTTGTTTTTCATCCCATATATATTTAATTTATTTTGAAAGAGCACGATGTAACATAAAGTCTATCGAGAGGTTTTTCTTACATTCTTTCCTTGTTTTTTTTTTGAGAAGGAAAATGATGAAAAGTTCGATATATCAACTATATTTCAAAACTACTTTAAAAAGCCTAAATTTATGAAGACTCTTCGGAGATATCAAATTGTCACCCTTGTTCATCTGAAAAGTACTAAAAATTTGAAAAAAAGTTATTCGACGAGCGCTGTGCTCTGAAAGCTGTTTCAAACAAAACAAATTGAATAGTTAAAACGAAGAGCAATCCAGAACTTTGGAAGGCTGAAGGAGCTATTTTTCATCCTTGTTTGATTCATATCTTTCGAAAAATTTATGGTATAAAACTCATCATTTTAGTATAGCCTCTTCAATGCATCGTTAATATTTCCAGAAAATGTCATGCGATTTGACTGCACATGACGAAAAACTCAATAATAGGGAGAGGTGACCTTAATTTTCATTTTAGATTTTTTCTGTTAACGTATAATCTACTTGAAACCAAAAATATAAGCTGTTGGTGTCAGGATATATTACCATATTCAATCTATTTCAGGTCAGGAAACCCCTATTTCGGCAAAAAAACGAATTGTTTTAAAGTTGACTACATGTGTTCAGGACGAAAGACAAAGAATCTGTACTTGGTATTTCGAAATTTCGAGTTATATAATTTCGGTCTCGGGAGTAAGACTATTCTGTAAAAACAATGATTTATCCAGTAAATCCTGACTAAAAATGTTCTGGATCAAGGAATCAAAATATTAATAGGGCTTTTCGAAATTTTGGAGTTTCCTGTTGCAACGCCTAACAACCACGAATTAGGATACTGTTAGTCACGTTTTACGAGAAAAAAAGAGGTTATTTAAACAGCATAAACCATCTTCGACAATGAAAATTTCATCTGAATACTATTACCTGTACATAAATTATTTAGTCACTAACTTTCGAATATATTGTATGTTTACAGGAAAGCTCTAACTTAATACTAATGGTTAAGTGACCTGTTGTCCGTTATTAATGACGACTAAAGTGATATTATCGACCAATTTTTCATTATTATTATTATTATTATTATATCATTAACTGAGAATTCAATCTAAATATGAAAACAGTGCAAATGATCCAGCCGTTTCGAAGGGATCTCCGCATAAACACACCGCAATCGATGCATATTTACACGCAAACACTGCCCTAGTCGAACATCTTGTATCCAAGATCTTGGCAAAATTTATGCATAAGATAATTGTATTATTTTGCAGCAAGATTTTAAAATCTGGTCCAAGATTTTGACTTAGTAATATCAACTAAAGATTAAATTTCCGCTGCTCAGAACTATTGTCTGTTCTAAAATAAAATGCAGGTTCTCATTTTCTAAATAACTTTTGTTGAGTATAAAATATAGACCTGAGATTTTCACCATTCGAAAGAGCCATGTCTGGGCCATCGATCGGTATAGAATTCATTAAGACGAAAGATGCTTTTTTATAGGTGCTTTTGGATCAATACTTTTCTCTTTGATTATTTTCATCAATTTTCACAATAATCTCAACTCAAATTATGTCCAAATGTAACTCAAATCATCCTTTTTTTTCGCTATATAATTATCACATCTTTCAATATCTCTCAACCTTTTATTCTAAGTGGATTTTCAAAAACAAATGTTCATTTTATAACGAAAAAAAGGTGTTTTGAACTACCTACATTTTGGCATAATTTGAGTTGAGATTATTGTGAAAATTGATGAAAATAATTAAAGAGAAAAGTATTGATCCAAAAGCACCTATAGAAAAGCATCTTTCGTCTTAATGAGTTCTATACCGATCGATGGCCCAGACATTGCTCTTTCCAATGGTGAAAACCTCAGGTCTATATTTTATACTCGACGAAAGTTATTTAGAAAATGGCAATCGGCCTTTTATTTTCAAACGCACAATAGATCATGCTGAATGATTCAAGAAAACACGATCTTCATTCAAGGGTGTTTATGAGGACGATGAATTTGAACATTTTTTAAATAGAAACATTAATTTCTAACTTAGATCCTTGTGTCTGTGGAGGAAATCTGACTTTATATTCAGATTTAGCGTCAAATTTTACATCGGAAAGACTATTTCAGAAGTCTTTAAAGGCATCCATACAGAAATTTCATTGATCATTTTGGACCGTATGTATTTCGGTCAAGCTCTTAGAGATCTGCACCCAAGATCTTATTACAGATCTTGATATAAGATAATCACATTATCTTGTACCTAGATTTTCAAAATCTGTTGACATTTCTCAGCCTTGTATTTTGGTCAAGATCTTGTTTACAAGATGTTCGACTAGGATGAGAATATATATAAAGACTTATATTGTGCCGTAAGCTAAACGCTTTCATTAGGATATTTGTTCGAAGAAATTATAAGCAGAACAGACTGATCAGATAGATTTAGATATGAGACTAAGAAGATAGAACAAGAAGTTAGGTTAAAAATAGCTTGAAGCGTTAGACTAAGAGGATTGATTAAGGTATGAAATTAAGTGGATACAATAAGGAGATGAATGATAGATATAGGTTGAAGAATTGGAATAAGTGAAAAAGTATTGATTAAGATTTAGTATGAGTGGATAAATATAGATTAAGGGTTAACATAAAGGGATAAATATATGCTAAGGGATTAGATATAGGTTGAGGGTCAGAATAAGAGGATAGATATAGGTTAAGAAGTTAGATATAGATTAAGGGGTTACAATAAGAGGATAGATATATATTAAAGGTTACAATAAGGATTACGATATAGGTTAAGAGTGAGAATAAGGGTTTAGATATAGATTAAGGATGAGAACTAAAATTAAAACATAGATTCAGGGATAGGGTAAAGGTTTAAATACAGATAAAGGGACTAGCATAATGGGATAGACATAGATTAAGGATTAAAATAAGAAGATAGATATAGGTTAAGGGGTTAGATGTCGATACAGGTAGTATGTTTTGCTGTTAGGGTGAGCTAGTCAATCAGTCTAGATGGGCATAATAATATAGAAAATAGAGCCAATGGTGTTCCATTGGAATGGTGGCGAAATTTTAACTACAAAACCATTTTTGGAATGAGTTAAAAAGGATCTTGTGCGAAACTATATTAAAGGTTTCGATTTCGTTGCAAAAGTCGATACCTTTTTTAAGTTGCATATGGTACCATTTGTTTTCAGTGTGTAAAATAGCTTAGGAAATGTTTCATGAGTTTTTGCTTCTACAATAACTAGAATACATATGTAGAAGCATCTGTTAACAATTTGAGCTCCATCGGACGTTATCTTTTTCTAGCGTTTAGTATATACGGAACGGTATGGTTTTGGACGGGGTTTACCATTAAAAATGAACCGAAAATTTCTTGAAAAGCTATTGAATTTATATCGTTCGATGTAACTTGACGAGCTGATTCCGAATATCACCTTGATTTTTCTTCAAAGTGTAAGATGGGTGGCTAAAACTGAATTTTCCACCAGAAACCTCGAGTTATTGGGCATTCTGTTAAATAGTTTACGAAAGGTTTCATGAGTTTTCGCTACTACCATAAGTAGGATACGTATGTAGGAGCATCTGATAAAAATGTGCACTTGATCGGATATTATTCTTTTGTAACATTTACAATATACGGAACGGTATATTTTCAGATACGTTTTCGAGTTCGAGATTCTTTGTTTCCTACTCTATTTTAAATTCAATTCAGATCATTTCTTATTAATCTAAGGTCCACCAATGAGGAAGATTTTATGATATTGTTTGCTTGTGCAATATTGTTTCATATTGCCGAATGGATTGACTTTTTCTATATATGTGACTTTATAGACTTAAGTCTTGGCATGCCATTTTTTTCAAGGCTCTGTAAAATTTTGAAAATTCCTTTTTTTGGAAAATGATGCATTGTGTTTATATATATGGGATTGGCCAGTCTGGCCGGAGGGTACCACCTTCTTTTTAATCATTTAACTCCTATAACACATCAGAATAATATGATTTTTCTACCAGTTATAGTACTCGTATAATGCTGATGATGGATGAAGTCCAAAGAGTCTGTACCTTGTTTGAAACCAAAATAATCAAAGTTTTTAAAAACTCTTATGCTATTTACGGACAGATTTTTCTAAAAACTTTGATTATTTTGGTTTCAAACAAGGTATAGACTCTTTGGACTTCACCGATCATCAGCATTAAACGAGTACTATAACTAGTAAAAAAATCATATTATTCTGATGTGTTATAGGAGTTAAATGATTAAAAAGAAGGTCGTACCCTCCGGCCAGACTGGCCAACCCCATATATATAAGGGAAGATTGGAAAATCCCCATATATCACGTTGGGAAAATTCTGGATACGAAACGGATATTTCCAACACATGTAAATGTCCTTGAATTCCCCACCTGAGCAATATATATATATGGGCGTGAGCAGTCAGCATGATACCCCATTAATATTTTTTTTTTGATACAGCCCTATTGTAAGGATAAAACATACTATTGTCCGGGCCATATGAGAGAGGATCCAAATAACCCTGTATTGGCCCGAACAACACCATGCTTTATCCTTACAATAGGACTGTATCAAAAAAGATATTAATGGGGTATCATGCTGACTGCTCACGCCCTATAGATATTTGATGAAATAGTAAAACTGCGACACCTTTCATGTTTAGAAAAGCTAGACTGGTCAATATCTTCTCCAATCAGCCATTTGTTTTTCTATGACAGCTGATTGACTTCTTTTTCAGTACTGTTTCGAGGCTCTTGACGAGAAAAGCAGAGTACAGAGTATTTCCCATGTATACAATTGTAAATAATTCGCCCACATATACGCATCAGAGTAGAATGTTACATAAGACGTTAATCATCAACCTTATGAATTATTTTTATTTTTATTGAAAGGAAAAAATTTTTATATATACAGATAATTAAAGATGCATCTTGAGAAAGTAACATCAACTGAAGAAACACAAATGGATGGTCGAGATCTCATGTGTCCAATATGCATGAGTAAGAGCAATTATTTAATTTTTAAATTATTCTTTTTTTTCCTTTTCAATATAAAAATAGCTATTGCCGAAGATCCTCATATAACATCATGTTGTCATCGAGTATTTTGTTCAAAAGATGCTAGTTCAAGAAAATATGATAATGGTTGCCCATTATGTCGTGCAGAGAATTATTCATTTCAACAATCTGATAAACATAAAGCAATGCTTGATAAACTTACAATGAAATGTACGTGTTCAGAACGAATTCTTCAGCATGAACATCAGTATCATATGGAACGATGTTTAGATGTAAAATTTACTTGCCCTCATAGTGCCTGTAAAGAAAGAGTAAATCATTAATAGAAATTCTAAAAAGAAATAAACTATTTTGTTTTTTTTCCTTTCAATAGAATGATAGAACAGAATACAATTCTGAACAACTTGTCAACCATCTTGCACGAGCACATTGTGATGAAGTGCCAATTCTTGGTTCTACATACATAAATAAAAAATCTCTCGAACCATATAAAAAAGTATCAGCTAAATATGATGATCTTGTTTCGACATTGTATTCCGAACTTTATCCGAAAATGATTGATATAAAAATAAAAAGTTCATCACATATTCAAGAAAAGTCTCCAATATTTAAATGTCCATCAGGACATCCATTAATTGATGCTGATCGCACAAAACGTAAACGTAAAGATGGCAGTGCTTATTCTTCATCAGGATTTAGTTGTGACATATGCCATCGATCATTTTCAAATGGTCATTCATGGCATTGTTCATGCACTCAAAGTGGTTATGATAAATGTGTTGGTTGTGTTGTTTTTGAATTATATGATATTAGCAATGATGCATTACAAATAGCAAGTCAAGATAATGAAGAACAACAACGACGTTACAGACGACAAACAATACGAAATACTGTACGTTTACCACGAGGATTATTTCGGTTATTAACCGGAAATATGGATGAAGATGAAGATGATGATGATGATGATGATACTGATGATATAGTATTAAGACATGCAACATCATTTATCAATCAACATAGTACATTTGAAGGAACAGATGATGATGAAGTTGAAGTTAATCTTCGTGAAGATTAATTAACAGTATTATTATGATGACTTTATTTTCTTTATTTCCTCAATGAACATTTCAACATGTAAAATATACTTTGTAATTTCTCATTTGTTTTTGATCGAACCTAATCTATCCAATTGATTTGTCTTTGATTTTTCTATTTTATTGATGATATATGTATGAACAGCAGTTTTCTGTTTATTTTTTTTAGGTAGAAAACACATTAAACTTTGATGTTTATTCTATAATGATCTATTTAAATAATCAGATTAAATGAAGATTTAATTTGATATTATCTTATTTTTCTTAAGTGATTTTTCATAAAAGATATAGTATTGCTAGTTGAAAATAGATCATAAGTTAATTTCACTAATATTTTACATTTTTGTCACATGTAATATAATTCAACTATATATTTATCTCTCTTGGTGACAATGATTAATTCAAACATCAATCAATTCGGAAATTATTTCTATCAAGTTAATTTGACTAATTATTACTATTTAAAATTTTAGCTAATCAATTGATAACAACAAAAGAACAAGAAAAAAGAAAACAATCTGGCTCATTTTTTTTTACAATACTTTAAAATTCTGTTTTTTTTTCTTTTCTTCGTAAAATGTAAAAATAGCACTTGGAGAGTATTGAGAAAGAAAAAGAAAAAGTGTTGTCGGCTACTAAAATCTATTCATATTGATTGTAGGAAAGGAAACGCAAACAACCTAAAAAATAAAAGAACAACAATCACAATGCCATTATTATATGACACTAACATGAAATTTGAATTAGAGAATTTCAGTGATGATGATGATGATTATGATTATGATGAACGTTGTCAAGGTTTATTAATTCGTCGAAAAACTAGTTATACCTCTCGAGTTAATAAATCTTCATCAAAAACAAAATTATCTGCTCGTCAGCAATGTGAAACTATTCATGTTGATCAAGCTATAGCATGTGCCTTAAAATCACGTTCAAAAGCGTTTCATTATACACAAAAAAACCTACAATATCTTCCACCATCTATTCAACATCTTGAAGTATGTGATAATTTACGTGAACTTGATTTGCATGGAAATCAACTTAAATCATTGCCTGATGAAATTGAAAAATTGAAATCTGTTGAATTTTGTAATTTAGGTGAGATGAAAAAAAAATATTTTTTCAATGATTACAATAATATTCTATGCAAATAATGCCCATAGTATTTCTCGTCATTGAAACGTCGGATTGAGATGCATCGTTTTTTTCTTTGATTTATATCCGATCTGATGCTGAGAAGGGTCATGATTTTAATTTAAACACAGAGAGATTTTTGTACTATTTAGAAAGAAATATTTGGACGAACTACTAAAACTTGGATCAAACACCACTGTTGAACTTCTATTTCTTTTATTGTAAACCTTCATGAATAAATTATTTTATTGGATGTTTGCAATTTATATTAACACTTCAGACACCCAATTTTTCAAGGATTGATCAAAATCAATCATACTAACGCTCTACATGAATTATAGAAAATTGAACTTTCAATAATGCTCATAGAATTCAGCTCTTTCACATTAATATCCACAGATGCCCATAATCTATCTTCTGATCCGAATAAATGCTATCTTTAAATAATTTTTTTGTACAATTTTTTTTCTAGAAGCATATGAGTATAGATAAAAAATATATGCAAGCCATGTTCATATATTTCCAAGAAAAAAAATTGTGCAGGACAATGATTTAGAGATGTCACTTGTTTGAGTCACAAGGTAGAATTCGATGAACATTGTTGAAGGACAAAATTTTTTATGAACAATGCAAAGTATGTGTTGATTAAAGTGATTTTTGATAGGCTTTGAAAAATTGAATGTTTGAAGGGTTGGCATAAATTATTAATATCGTATTTTATTTGAATTTCAAAAGTACTTTTCTTTATTGATATGTGATAATGACAATTTATAAGTGAATTATATTCTACATTTCAAGCTTTGCTACTTGACAGATAAATAGATGATTAGAAGCAATTCGGTATGTTATCATTTAGAATAAGCTACAACATATTTTTCGGAATGTTTTTACCCATATGCCTACTACAATACATTTTTTGTTAATTGTTATCATAGTAATTGAAGTTTTTGATCACATTTTTTTTCTCTATCAACTATTAGATAAATTTTAAAGATGCTAACCATTGAAAGTTGCTGATAGCAGTTTATGATGAACAGATTCAAGCTTGAAAATCATAAATAATATCGAGATGGGACTTAAAGATATTTGGGTGAAAATTGAATAAGTCCAGGACGCATGCAACTTGAGATCTGCAGTTTTCAGCAATTGAAAGAGAAGACACGAGAACATCTTCTTATCTGATAATATATAGGACAAAGTCATTTTGAAATCAATGATTTCTACAAAACATTTTTAAAAAAATCTATGAAAATGGTCTGTCATTCCGATGAAACTTTGATTGTGACATGCCTGTTCGATAGACGAAGATGAAATCTATAGTTCAAGAAACAATTTGAATGATTACCTTTTCACATCCTAATACTGTTTTGCGGAAATTGTTGGTTTCAATATGTTTTTTTTTGTATATATTATTGAAGAAAAAGATATTACAGTATCTTCTCTTTCGATTGCTGAAAATCGAGTATCTTGAAGTCCCGCGCCGATATTAGTATTAAATAAGATTGAAATTCTCAGAAAAAAAACATTAATTGAATAATAAATCATGTTCTCCATTGTGACTTTAATATAAAAATAACGTTTAAATCGATTCAAACCAAGATACTCTTCTGAAATGATTCCCGTGGTATATATTTGTTTGTATGACTACTAATGAAGTGAATCTCATAGAAAATAGTTAATCAAGATGATTTTTATTCTATGAGAATGGTTTACCATCGATTGGGATCTTTCATAATTGATAAGAATCTATCCTATGAAGAACTTTCAGAGTTCGTCCAGTCACTTTCATGCCAAACTAATATCTGAGGAAATTTCAATAAGATATTTTGTTATGGTCGATAAAGAATGGAGCACATTGATTTTGGTTTTTTTTCTTTGAAGATACAATTCTAAGTTCATTTGATAGAAAATATTTGCTCTGCAAAAATGTCGAGTTTGTTCTTCAAATGAGTTTTTCCTGTCACAGAAAAAGCGAAAACATTGAGAGCCACTCGACTATTGAATTGTTACTCTCAGAACACAAAACAATTATTAAAAGTATGTTTAAATAACAGTTCTACCGAAATTTAACATATGCTACAAGATACGCCGTGAAATGTTGCATTTCGCAATGTTTCGAAATTTTAATCAAAAAAATCTTTCTGACAGCTCTCTGTCATTGAGAACAATATAAAGATTCTCGTTGTTTGGTTTAAATGTTACATCATTTTATTCAGAATTAAATTCTGTATCCGATGCTATAATGATAAACCGTTCGTACACAGCATTAATTTTTTGAAAATACGAGTTGCAAAAGCACTTTCAAATCAATATACAACCAGGTATTAGTTCCAAGTTTTTTGCACCTGAACGACAATATTCGAAGCCTTGAAAAAATGTTGGGAGCATAGAGCATAACATTCTCTATTCATTAATGCCAAATACTTTATATTTAGCATTGAACTTGATGAACACAAGTTTGCACAAATCGTTAGATGTCTGCTAGAAATAGCAAAAGATTGTAGCTGGGTATTGAAGCAGTCATCAATCTTTTCAATTTTTCGTAAACAAAACAAACTTATTCAAAACACGAGTTTCACATTTTTTCACAGCGAAAATTTCTCTGTCATATGAGATTGGAATGGTACCTGTGAACAATGCTTCCACGTTCTTTATAAAAAAATAAAACAAAGTTTCCTAGTAATTATGCCCCATCCTCTATAAGATGAAATTCTAGCACTAAAGAGTAGAGATGTGATGATGGATGGATTGATAAGTCTTCTGTACATCCACATCCATACGCATACCTACAATATATTGATAAAACAATTAATCCGATAATTAAATATTAACTACAATGAGTTGAAGACAAATATAATGACAAAAAATTCGGAAATGAGATTTTTTCTATGAATTTTAATCGGACGTATATGGTCCCAATTGAGACGCTTTCATGTTTATTACATGCAAAACGTTTTTAGTTTGAAGTAATCATTCTGTAGATCTTTGATAATTATATGATTATTGTTTTATTGATTAAATAGGAAATAATCATTTTGAAGATTTACCATTTATTCTTGGTTCATTACCTAATCTTACCAAATTACTTCTATTTAATAATCATCTTGGTAATTTATCTTCATCATTATCATTTTCAAAATTAAATCATTTACGTATTTTAAATTTAAATAATAATTCTATAAGACAATTACCAAGTGATATTGGTATTTTAGTTAATCTTGAAATTTTAAGTATAGAACATAATCAATTAATAGAACTTCCACGTGAAATTGGTTTATGTACACATTTAATTGAACTTCATCTTGGTTATAATCGTTTAACAAAACTTCCACTTGAAATTGGTTATTTAATCGAATTAAAACAACTTATTTTACATCGTAATAACCTTCTTGAATTACCTGAAAGTATAACTAATTTAAAAAATTCATTAAAACTATTAGATGTTGCTTGTAATAATTTACGTATATTTCCGAGCAAATTTCATACATTACATTTAAATGAATTTTATGCTGAAAGTAATTCTTTATTAGAACATGCACCAATTCATTCAATACAAGAAAATGAAATATTAACATTAAAAGAACTTTGTGCACGTCGTTCAATGTATGAATTACGTAATCCAACACATGATTTTCAACCAACATTACGTGAACGTATACAACATTATAAAAAGGCTAAAGACATTTTAATGCAATGTACTGAATGTCAATTTTGTCATAATTATTTTTTAAATACATGGTTAGAATGTGTTGAATTTATTGATGTACAACGAACATTTAAAGGAATGAAAAATAATATTAATCAAGCAATAGCTATTATTCCTCAACGTGCACTTCTTTGTTCATATGAATGTTTCAATAGTCCAGGTCACAATTACTATGGCGTTGCTTTTACTTAACTCCGAAAAGAAAAAAGAAGATTTAAAAATAATATTCATATAAAAATGTTCTTTTTTTTTTCTATTTTTTATTTCAAAATTTTAATCTGCATTTGTTGACTTTTTGTCTTATTTTTTTCTAATGAAAATTTCATTTCATCACACATCGTTCTTTCTTTTTCTACACACATACACAAGAATGTTGACAATAAAAAGAAAACAAATGAATATTTTGTTGTTGTTATTGTTTTAATCAACTTCCTAAAGTACAAAGAAAAAAAATTATAAGTAAATCGATACGAAAGACAAATGAAGTTTTTTACCTCAATAGTTGGTCCAGCACTAGAACCAGCACCTCCATGTGGTCCACCGGCACCACCTGGAAAACCGCCTGGAAAACCACCTGGCATTCCACCAGGCATTCCACCAGGCATGCCACCAGGCATACCACCAGCTCCACCAGCTCCACCATAGAGTTTAGTCATAATTGGTGAACATATTTTTTCAACTTCTTTTAATTTATGTTCAAATTCCTCTTTTTCAGCAAGCTAGAAAACAAAAAAAGTCAAATAAAAAATAAGAAAAAAAATTTTTTTTTTAATATTCGTACTTGATTTGTTTCCATCCATTTTAATGTTTCTTCAATAGCCTCAGTAATCTTCTTCTTATCATCAGCATCAATTTTATCGGCTAATTTTTCATCATTAATTGATGTTTTCATATTAAAACAATATGATTCAAGTGAATTCTTAGCAGCAATACGATCACGTTGTGTTTCATCTTCTTTTTTATATTTTTCAGCATCAGAAACCATACGTTCAATTTCATCTTTAGATAAACGTCCTTTATCATTTGTAATTGTAATTTTATTTTCTTTTCCAGAACTTTTATCCATAGCTGAAACATTTAATATACCATTTGCATCAATATCAAATGTAACTTCAATTTGTGGTACACCACGAGGTGCTGGTGGAATTCCCGATAATTCAAATTTTCCTAATAAATGATTATCTTTTGTCATTGCACGTTCACCTTCATATACTTGAATTAATACACCTGGTTGATTATCTGAATATGTTGTAAATGTTTGTGTTTGTTTTGTTGGTATTGTTGTATTACGTTTAATTAATGCTGTCATAACACCACCAGCTGTTTCAATACCCTTTAAAAAAATGAAATTTTTTTCTTCAAGAGAAACGTTTTTTTTTTCTTCAAATTAACTTACCAATGAAAGTGGTGCAACATCAAGTAAAAGTAAATCTTTAACATCTTCAGATTTGTCACCTGTTAATATAGCAGCTTGGACAGCAGCACCGTATGCAACAGCTTCATCTGGGTTAATTGATTTATTAAGTTCTTTACCGTTGAATAAATCTTGTAAAAGTTTTTGAACTTTCGGAATACGTGTGGAACCACCAACAAGTACAATTTCATGTATTTGTGCCTTATCCATTTTGGCATCACGTAAAGCTTTTTCAACAGGTTCAAGTGTTGAACGAAATAAATCGGCATTAAGTTCTTCGAAACGTGCACGAGTTATTGTTGAATAAAAGTCAACACCTTCGTGTAAGGAATCAATTTCAATTGATGCTTGTGATGATGATGATAATGTGCGCTAAACAAAAAACAATTTAGTTTTTTTAAAGATAAAACTAAAAAATAATTTTTATATACTTTAGCACGTTCACAAGCAGTACGTAATCGTCGAAGACCACGTTTATTATCTGATAAATCTTTTCCATGTTTACGTTTAAATTCTTGTGTAAAATGTGAAACCATTCGATTATCGAAATCTTCACCACCCAAATGTGTATCACCTAAATTTAAATAAAAAAGCAAAATTATAAAATCTTTTAATAGATAAAAAAAAACATCTCTTCTTACCGGCTGTCGATTTAACCTCAAATATTCCTTCTTCAATTGTCAAAATTGATACATCAAAAGTACCACCTCCCAAATCGAAGATTAAAACATTTCGTTCAGCTGCTACTTTTTTATCTAAACCATAAGCAATAGCAGCTGCTGTTGGTTCATTGATAATACGTAATACATTAAGACCAGCAATAACACCAGCATCTTTTGTTGCTTGACGTTGTGAATCATTGAAATAAGCTGGAACAGTAACAACAGCTTCAGATATTTTTTTACCAAGATAAGCTTCGGCTATTTCTTTCATTTTTGTTAATACCATTGATGATATTTCTTCAGGTGTAAATAATTTTGTTTCATTTTTATATTCAACTTGTATTTTGGGTTTTCCACTGTCATTAACAACTTTGAATGGCCAATGTTTCATATCAGCTTGAACAGTTGTATCATCAAATTTACGTCCAATTAAACGTTTAGCATCAAATACAGTATTATTTGGATTCATAGCTACTTGATTTTTAGCTGCATCACCAATTAAACGTTCACTATCAGTGAATGCAACATATGATGGTGTTGTACGATTTCCTTGATCATTAGCAATAATTTCAACTTTTCCATGTTGAAAAATACCAACACACTATTTGAAATCGAAAGAAAAAAATAAAACAATTAATTCTTAATTTAATTAATTTTTATGTTTAACTTACGGAATATGTTGTTCCTAAATCAATACCAATTGCTTTACGTCCATCAGCCATTGCCTAATTGTTTTTTTTTTGAAATAATAGAAAAAAGAAAATGTGCTACTAGAAAATCTACAAATTAATATAAAACAATGTTGTCAGTACTGAATGGGTCTTTTTAAATAAATGATTGCAGTCAGCTTACTAGCAGCTTACTTTATATGAGCAACGATAGTAGATGTGGGGAAGCAGAGAAAAGAAAAAAAAACTACGATAGACGGTGAGATTCCAGATTGTTCGAGAAACATCTCGTAGAATCCAAGGAAGAAAGGAAAGAGAATGATGAAGAAGAAGAAGAAAAAGAAGGAGAGAACGAACGAAAATATAGTGGGTCAGAATAAAAAATAGGAAGAACGATAATGTATTGCGTTTTGCCCTCCCATAACACAGTGCGAATTACGTCATTGTATACATCTAGGCGAGTGCATAGACATTTTGAAATTGGAGAATAAATATATTTCGTTGCTTAGTAACTGACTATTAGCCAAATTAGAAAAAATTGAGTGAAATTTTCGATATCTCATTTTTATTGTTAGTATTAAAATGTTCTAAATTTAAATTGTTATGTAGTGCGTTAAATTACTTTTTGAAGTGTTGTTACTAAAATTGCTTGTTTAAGTTCAACAAGACCAATTAAAGTAAGAAGTAGTATACTGATCAATGAACATGATAGAAAGATATGAACCGATGCTTGATATTATTTCAAATAAACATATAATGATGAATTGTCTTGGGACAAAAAAATAGTAATTCATTATTTATTTCAATTAATTGTTAACCATATGATTTAAATTGAAATTGTTTCATTTTATTTATTTTAATAACGAACAAGAAAACGATTGATCATCATTGCTTTTCAATAATCACTTTAAACATCAATAACACGAATACAATAGACAAAAAAAGAATGATACATTTGAGTGAGATGAAAAAAGAAAAACCGATCAATATGCTTTTCATATAATACTCAAATAACAAAAAGAAAACAAACAATCAATCTGCTAATTTGCCTTTTTTTTTTCATGAGAATGGAATGTAAACTTTTCTTTTTTTCATTTATAAAAAAAACAAAGGAAACAGACAAAGAAAATTTCTACGAACAATAATTCAATAATGAGAATAAATGACAAGTGAGAAACATGCATAATAAATATGTCAAGATTGAAAAATGAACAGAAGAAACAAAGAAAAAAAGCAATCAACTGTAGCACTGTTCAGGAAACGTATTTAATTCAGCTTCATCACTTATTGGTGAATTATTATATAAATAATTAAGTTTAATTCGCATACGAAGTTTTTCTTTATTTGGATTTAAAATTTTTATTGTTTGACGAAGATCTCCAGAATTATCTGATGGTATTGTTGTACCAGTTGGAGGAAGTAATTCAAGATTAAGTGTCTAAAAAATAAATAATTATGCTTAAGAAACAACAAAACAAAAACCTTTTTTTTCTTTACTTTAGGTACAGCTGCCTTAAAAACAAAATTTGTTATAGGTGTTTTTGTTGAATTTGTTGCTTGTGAATGAATAAATAAAATTTTATCTTGTCGTTCAAATTGAAATATAATACGTAAACCATTTTTATCAATAGCTGTCATTGATGGAATAGATGAACTTTTACCTAAAATCAAAATAAAAATAAATTTTTGAAAGATAAATTAAAAATCTTACCATTAATTGATTGATTGCTTAATAAATCATTACCAAAAATATCATCAAGTGGATTTGATAATGAAACCGATTGTTGATTATTAGAATTTAATAAATCAAATAGATTATTTTCCGTATTAAATTCATTTCCAGTATTTGTTGATGATGGTTCATCGAGAATTTTAAATAAATCTACCTAAAAAATTAATTGAAAATTTATTTTTAATTAAAATGATAATTTTTCTTTTCTTTTTATTCTTTACCACTGGTTCAGTTTTTATATCTGATGTTGATGAAGAATTAATTCCATTAATTGAAGATTCTTCTTGTTCATATGTTGGTTCTTCATTATTTGTAGTAGATGTTTGATTACTAACAAGGACAGGCATACGTTCGACAATACTCGACCTTTAAATATTAAACATATTTATTTTTATATATTCATTTTCTTTTTATATTTATCAAACGAATATTTATTTAGGATTATATCTAGTGTAACCATTTGCTTTTGGAATCACTCAACAATGAGCAATTGCAGTTATCCACATAAGTTTTATTTTTAATCGAATCTCTTCTCGTGTAAGTTTTCATGAGGAAAATGTTTCTTTTTGCATAATAATTGTCAGTAACAAATAGTGAATTTATTTATATTAAAAAGCATTGCTTTTTACGAAGATGACATTTAGTATCATACAAACTGCACTTTACTGTTTTCGTTCGTAAGAATTGTAATAAAAATGGTCATAAAACATCAGATTGTGTGATAGTTATAAATTTCGAATTTTATTTGATTACATCTTGAGGGAATTCGTTAGTCTGAATAAATGTTACTAGAAAAAAATATAGTCATCTTGATAATGCCGAATGTATTCTAACAAGGGAATCAATTTAATTGATACTTGAAATTTAAGGTTATGCTAAGTCTACATGAACATCTTGGTGAAACTATCAAAAGTATAAAAACGGGTTTGTGCCAATAGAGTTTTGGAGTCAAGTTATGATCGTTTTATTAAATTGTCGATGCAGCTTCAAGTATATACTGAAAAATTAAGTAACGGAATTTCGCCAATAGATGTATCTATTGATCCTTAGAGCATTCTTTTGTCGAAGTATGAATTTTCAAGTAAACTCAATTTTTGTATCATGTTTGTGACAAGCAAATATCGTTTTTAGAAATTCATATCTCAACAAAAGACTTATCTCTTCAGCTGAAATTCTCAAGATATTCTACAGATCATGCGAACTATCGACGAGCGAAATTCCAGATCGATAATTCATTAAAACGACCATAAGTTGGCTCTAAAGGTTCACAAACACAAATCCTTTTATACTGTTGTTAGTCTCAGCAAAGCATCATTGTCGGTCCAATATAAGCTCAAATGGTGGGCATCAATTTTGATGGTTCATAGAAGACATTATAATTAACATCTAGGCACTGTTCATTCTATAAGAATTTTCAATTAAGAAATTCTTTTTCATAAATTCGTTATTTTTTCTTTCATATTGTAACAAGAGTAATACTGCATCGATACATAATAGAAGTATAAATCATGTTCGACTTATCTATCACTTCCATAGAAATACATTTTTCAGTCTTTCAATTTTTCTTATTATTCTCACTAATATCTTTATTAATTTACAAATTAAATAAAAAATTTTCTAATCATTTTATATTTTATGTTTCTTCATTGATCATATAAATATAATTAGCGTAGATGATAAGAGAATTTTACCTGATTGAATTATGTTTAGTAAAAAGTGATGTATATTCAACAGCACGTGTTTGTAATTCTAAATTCATATTGCAAGCATAAACAGTCATGACGGATTGTATTCGACTAGCAAAAAAGAATAATACAAATAAAAGTCATCATAATTTAATTAATTAAACATACTCTGAACAACTAGGAAATCGAGTACTTAATTTCATTAATGCATTTATTGCATATTCACGCGTAATAACTGTACTTATTGACCAATTTAAGATTTTTTCTAATATATTAACTATTTCATCTTCCGTAACCTATAAATAAACATAAATGTATACATATGTCAAAATTTAAATAAATAAAAATTTACTTGTATATTTTCTTCGTCATCCGAAGGTTGATATTGTCCGCTAACAAATAAATCTCCAAATTCACCTTAAAAAGAAAAGATTAACATTGATTAAACAAAACAAACGAAAGGGTTGGTTCATAAATAATTGCAGTATTAGTGTTTTCAAAAATTTCGCCTCTATTTATCGTGTTTGATTTAAATGTTTTCTTATATCAAAACATTACACTTGAAATTTTCTACAAAACCATATATTATACAATATCAATATTATTATAGATATATTTGAAATACGGTGAGAAGTAAAATCACGAAAATAACCGTAGAATGTGAATACGAAAATAGTAATAAACCAACAAAAATTTATCGTAATTTGGATGAAATGATTTCAAAGTGAACCATTAATTTGTGAAGGAAAAACTTATCAACATTACTGGCTTCATCAATTTATTACTCTATCTCGATCATGCACGCACAGTTCAAACAAAATTTATTAGATGTTAACAGAATGTTGTTGAGGTTCATGTACGTTATCTCAGTGAAAAAAGGTGTACAGGTAGAGGTATAAGCCGATCGACTAAGTCACCGCCTTCAACATTCAAGTGATTCAGTTGCCGGGACCGCAACACAAAAATACATAGATAATTTTTAAAAAGTAAAAGGTAAGTCTGAGTGTGGACATATCGATGTGTCTGATAGTAAAATAAAGATTTTATCTGTGAAGCACTGATAATTCAGATCTTCCTACAACTCTTCGAATTTTCAAAGTTTACATCTCACGGAATCCGAATACGTCTCACTTGATTGTATTGTACGTTTACGTTCGATAAAAGAAATAGAGAAGTGGAAAAATACTAGCGAGGGAACCACCCATTATTTTAATTACCTAATGTCCATAATGCTACTTGAACAAGTGGTTGTTGAGTTATATCATTACGAATAATTTTATATAATTGTTGTGCTGTATAACCATGTAATTCTGGTGATGATGATATAATACCAATTAAACTTGATACAATATCATCACGAACACTATTACCCGCCTTTAAAAAAGAGAAAAAAGAAAAATCGAACATTTTTCATTAATTTAACATGCATACTGTTGTCAGAACTTTAATCATTTGATCGACATGCCATCGTTTTGATGGTGAAAAACTAAAGTATAAAATATTCATTTAAAAAAAACAAAGCAATACATTTCTTTTAATCATTACCGATCCATAGCTAAAAACATATTTGATGTGCAATCAGCTTTAAATTCTTGTTCACATGTTCCAAGAAATGTTAACATTTCATTAATCATTGTACGAATATTATTTGAATTAATAAGTGCAAAACATAATTCCATAGCTCGACTAAAGTTTTCAAATAATTTTTTTTTTCTTTTCTTTTCTAACTTTTTTTACCGTTTTATTGATACATCAGCATCTTTAAGACATTCAACAATTGTTGCTCGATGTCTTTGTACAGCACTATGATCAGCATGTACAACATGTAAGAGTGTATTTAATGCAACATAACGAATATTTTTATCATTATTAAGTAAAAAACGTCCCAAAATATTCACCGCTAAAACCTTTTTAAGAAAAATGTCAAATTTTATTTATGAATTTTAAAAATAATTATACTCGTAATCCAGATTCAGATTTAATATCCATAATAGTTAAAACAGTTTCATATAAAATAGCATTACCAACATTTTTCGTATTTTCAGTATTTGTTGATACTTGTGCTAATATATCATTCATTATTTCACTTGCTTCTATATCATTTCGACCTAATACACGCATTAAACGTAGAAGACGTACCTGAAATGATAATTATTTTTTTACTAATTTAATTGAAAAACGTTCATTCGGTTTTTTTTTTACTTGTAAAAATGGATCACTTATGCCTGATACATCATGTTCAGGACTATAACCTGACATTATTAAATTTTTCAGTATACGAACCAGATTTGGTACTAACTAAAAATAAAGAAACATTTAGAACAAAATCGACGAAAACTTAAGATATAAAATACAACTTTTCGAAAAACTTGTAATGCTTGATTATTTTGTTCACACATTTCCGTGATAAGAGTTATAGCAGAAAGAAGAACGCCTATAAATAGTTTTTTTTTTTATTATTTTATATAACAAAAAACGAAGGGTTGAAACTAACCATGATTTTTTTCACTAAGTAAACTACGAACTGAATTTTGAAAAACATCAAATTGTTCAGGAACTTTTCGTATTATCCGAACAGCACAAAGAACAGCCTAGAAAATTAATTTATAGAAATGAGTTAAATTTAGTTTTGATTAAATTTACTTTTTTTTTTAAATATGGATTTGATGATTTCATTAATTTTTCAACTTCACCACCTAAATCACGACTCATTTCAGGTGAACATATTGAACCTAATGCACATAATGCTAAACCAGCTATATATTGATTTGAATGATTGAGATCACTAGAAAAAAACAACAATTGAATAGAGACATATACTATTTGACTTATAGTCTTGAATAAAACACTTTTTCATGTGAGTTAAACTAATGAGAGGAAGTCTTTTAAATGATTTATGCTTCTTCAATCGAGACTATGTGCATCATATAGATCTTAATAATTTATAAACACTCGAATTCTTATGCTATTGCTGCAGAGATATGACATTTTAGAACTCAATACCATATTCTTAATTACGAAAGAATTCATCCAACTGATGATCCACGTTTGAGCTCATAATATGGATAAAAATCTTGAAAAGGCTCGTCCCATTAAGTCTTTCTTCTTGACCTTTGATTGTTTTACTGAATTTTCAGTGTCGTTTCAAGGTATCACGGGAAAAATTGTAACAAGGAGTTTCAGTTCAAAACTCTGTCAAACAATAGCTTTCATGATCCTGATGATATCTTGAAAGTTTCAGCTCAAACGAATGATGGCTTCTTATTATATAATATGTCAAAAAAAGTGGTATCTCCCGTAAATGGTCACTCTCAGCACTTATAATTCATTGCTACTTTTCTTATAATTCTACTAGCTGAGATTTGTGACCCGTAGTGGTGGTTATGAGCAATAACTGATTTCGATTGAATAAACGAGTTCGACAAAGAACTATATAATATAACTAAAATTTTCTTGTCATGGTTGCAGACTGTTCCATCTGCACTAGTCTTAACTCAGTCATAAATCACCATCTGCACATTCGATTTAATGCAGGTTTACAAGCAAGATCGAAGGAAGCCACAATTATTACGATTCAACGTTGTCTAGACTATTATGCCGAATAATATTATGATACTGTTATGAATGCGATGGAATACGTAAATAGTTTATCATTTGCTAAACGAAAAAACTTTAACCAATTTTTTTCTTTCTTATCTCTTGACTTATATTTGATCTGTGTTAAAACATTAGTATTATTCTATACAAAAAAGAATCTCCATGGTAATCAGCATTTTTCCTTTCAACACTTTTACTGTCTACCAATCATCTTGTTTCATGTGACCTAATTACTATAACACTTTAGTAATTTGAATTAGCGCTGAATTTTCTCACTTTATATATGACTATTTTGATTTTTTCAACGACACAGTAAATTTCTCTGTTGCAACGTTCTAACTAAAAATCAGCTGCATCAGATGGCTTTTGTCGAACAAATTACTCTATACGTTCAAAGGCATGCATGTGTGTAATCTAATTAAGAATCAAGTAACAAAACTTTTTATATTTTGTATGTTAGATTAATCTAGTGGCACAGTTATAATAACTGGGTTTCATGGAATATATAAGATCGACGTGCATCTCCCAATCACGCTAATCATAAGTATTTAAAATAATCACAGGCTTATTTTCTGTAATTTATCCATAAAAATTCATGAATTTCGTAAAACTATATTTTTTCATTTATCACCGAATCGATTGACACCAGTAAGCATTCCTCAAATAAAGTTACAAATTATTAGTTTACTTTTTAAGTGAATTTGTAATCAATACATGAATATCTTGTCGTTCATCAAGTAATAACATTGCTCCTAAATAACCAATACGTTTATCAGTAAAACGTGTTGATGCAATTAATTTAAGACATTCAAGCTAAAATAAAACAAATCAAAATTCTTTACAAAAAAATAATTTCGTTTATATTTTTTACTTGTCCAAAATGTGCTGGATAACCAAGTAATGAAACATATAATAATTTAGCAACATTACGGCATCTCCATGTATTATCTTCATCACGAAATGAATCTCGTATATACGCACATTCTTTTTGCACAACAGCACGTTCTTCAGCTGCTGTTTTAGCTGAACGTATTTGTCGAATAAGATCACGAAGTCGAACTGGATTTGACTTAAATATAATAGTTAAATTAAAAAAAAAAAAAGTGTTACAATTTTATTATACCATTGATAAATCCGGAAATTTCATCTGTTTTCTTTTGTTTTTGTGCAAATTTATATGATTGAGATTATTTTACATATCTTTATAAAAAATGAAAAATGAGAAAGAAAACAAATATTATCTCGGTTTTGTCTTGTGATTCATTCGATTCATTTATTTAACCAATCAAACAAATAGCCATATTATTTTTCATTGATTAATTTATACATCCATGCTTTGTTGAAAACAAATTAAAAGATGGCGCTATTCAATATAATTCTATTAAATTTAATATTAAAATTAATTAGATAGATAGTTTTTATTTAGTTAATTATAAAATCTTATTTATATAATCAATTATATTTAAAAAAAATAAAACAGAACAATAGTTTGATAATTGCTTTTATTTTGATTGAACATATGATGTGGATAAACATGGATAAAAATCAATCAACAATAAAGTATTGAAATAAAATTACATTCTTTTGAAGTTTATCGTACAAAAGACAAATTCAATGTAGATATGTAGATATAATTATTTATTTATTCCTTTCATCAGATGTATAGTTCGGATTATTCCAACATAATGGTAAGTTGTAGTAGAATTTAAAAGACAGCAACTAATAGTCTTTATGAAAACAGATTTTAGATAGCATCTTCATTCAGTTTTCGATCATTGATAACGTATTGGAGAGAATCAAAAATAATTGATTAGAATCAGAATTTAATGTTCTTTCGAAATATAATTTGAGTGTTTTACTGGAAACTAATACTTTGATGCAGAGTTGTAATTTTTTGAGAATTTTTCAAGTAGTCTAATGAATTTTTTGGATCATTATTAATTGGTCAATGGAAATAACTTCAAAAGAAAAACATTCATTTTCCTTTTTGCAGTTAGGTTTTTACAAATCTCGAGGAAGAAATGTTATATTATAGTCGTTCATATCTGTTAGTTTTCTCAAAGATGTATATATGTAATATGTCTGGATTTAGTGCGAAAAAAAAAGAGTAATAATTTACCCATCAACTGATTGCTACAGTTCACATCTTGAATTTTCTCATTCACACGAAAATCTCGATAAGATTAGAGAATCCCGTAAAGGGTTCATGCTCATCGGCCTCTGAAGCCGGGTAATGATCGTTTTACTGAGTTTTCGTCCATAAACAGATGGAATGACTAATAGAATATCCTAAAAGTTTCAGTCGAAAACAGTGTTTCTTTGACGAGGTATGGAATTTTCAAAAAATGATCGTGTGTCACGAAAATAGAGTTTGCTTAAAAATTCGATATATCGACATAGGAATATTCTTTTCGGCTGAAATTTTCAGAATATTCTACTAATTATTAGATTTCCTTATGGGCAAGAATGCAGTTCGAAATATCGTTATTTGAGTTTTTTGATAAATGCCTAAAGTTGGATCGAAAATTTCGTAAAACAATCATTACTTGACTCAAGAAGGTTATAGATCCGAACTCGTTTAGAATTTTTCAGGTCTCACCGAAACTTCCTTGTGAAGCCCACATGAGCTTGAACAGTCGGTATCAGTTCGAGGTTTTATCACAGAAAAATGGCGTATCTATAAAATATTTTTCAACCGGTAAAGACCGGCTGATTCGTAAAGGTTACAACTGTGTTTTGAAGAAATCAAAATCACGATGTTTGCCCAGAATTTTGTCTTTAGTCCATTTGTTGTATTTTGATTAAAACTATCGAAAACATAAGTCAATATTTTTATCTATCAATTTGTAGAAAGAACTTTGGTGTACAAAATATTCAAACTGTTCTTTATATTTTACATATCACGATACAAGAATGAAAGTCTGTAGTATTTTGAATACGAAGTTCTTGAAAAGAGCTAATAATTTTTAACATAAAGAGTAGTTCTTTTAATATTGACTGCTGCTCTAACTTACTGTAAGCAATTATTTTGTAGAAAGAACACATACTCTAAGAGAAAAAAAAGGAGTTAGCACTATATTAAAATATCATCTGAAACAGTTTCGAATGATAAAATTACTATTAGTGTTTTATTTAAATATTTGCTCATAGCTAACCCGTCTTTAGTTAGAAAAAAGTGTTGATTATTTCAAATGACTTGCAAGTGTTCAAAAATTGAACAAATATATTGCTCTCAGGTATTTTTACACATAGGTTAGATTAATTAATTGTAAGGTTAACATCATAGCGAATAACAGGTGCGAACTGAAATTTTTCCAAATTTTGTCTGAAAAATTATAAGAAAGCATATATTAAAGAAAAAAAAAGTTTGTTCGACACTTACTATGACTATTTATGATTAACAACTCTCAATCAAGAATTTTCAACATAACCTTCTATTTCTTTTGACTAATAAGCAATTGCTAAAGTGCTGCCAAGCACAATGAAATGTACTTGAACTAATGGCATATACGATGCAAAGATGAGAACGATTCCTTTTTTTTTTTTAAATTGAACCGATCCCATCTCTCATATGAAGGATAAGATCACTTTTACAACTATTAAGAAGAAGTCTATTCTCTAGAAATTAAACCTCACACTAGCTAGATTTTCTCTTATGGCTTTATCCTAATCAAGAGAAAAAAGTATTTAGAGAGAATTCAGCAGAACTATCTTACACTGCATCAAGAGCTTATAAATTAAATAGTGTGCACCTAAAGAGTAATTTTTTCCTCGAATGAATCGCCTGTTTGCAAATACAAGATATGTTTTGTTTCTTAACCCTGGATAAAAAAAAGGATGAGCATTTTGTGCGAAAGACGTTTGTTAGGCAAGCTATTAAATATATAACTACGAAATAAATAACATAGCTTTTCCATATTTCAACCCTAGGAGACAAAAATACAAAGAAAAGAACTCATTTTATGCTTGTAAGTTGTTAGAAATAGATTGCCGAATAAATTTTTAATTTCTATTTTTTCAACTAATACTTTGCTATAGCTTTGTAGAGAATTTCATGCTGCATCTTTTTAAAAAAGTTTCAATCCAGAACGATAATAAATAGTAGAAATATTAAGAAAATAGCGAGAGAGTTATTTATTCTGCCTGATCCGTTAGTTTTAGAATTATATTTAAGTTTTTTTTTTGCATCAATCAAATATTATTTAATACATTTTATTTATTTTCAACAAAAGATGAAGTTGTATCAAAACTTTATTGAATTTTTTGACATATAATATCAATAGTTTATTTGTTCGTTTTACTGTTGAGTTCACATTAAACGAATTGAATTATTGTTTCTTCAATAATTTGTTAGGATCAGTAAATAAATGTTTGTTTAATGGAATTTTTTTTAATTTTTAGAAAAAAAGAACTATGATGTTGTACTAATGTGTTTGATATTCGTTTGTTGATCGTAAAAATACTTGACAATAAAGAATAATTATCGAAAAAAAAAAGAATTGGATCTGAGTCATTAAGAATGATTGCTATGTCAAACTTGACATATATCGATTAGAAGTGAGTTAAGTTACTTAATACACTTTTCAAGTTATGAAAATTAAGTATGACGTTAAAGTTTTTTTTTTTGCATTGATTTATCAACAATTCGAAATTTCATTACTCTATCGAGTGAACTATCGACTTTGGTAGTTCGTCTTCGTTTCGACAGATCATTCAGGTTATGAATAGCTGTGTTCGAAAATTTAGTCTGTTTGTAGGAAAATAAAAACCTTTTAATTTGATTTCGTCATTGACACATAAGTAGAGTTTACTGTTGGTCAGAAAAATATACATCAGTATCAATTGACTCTTATCATTGCAAACTATCGTTATTTTCTAGTGTAGTAATGTTTCAATGAATTGACTTTGCCATTAATATATCTTTGAAACTGATTTTTATCATTAAGTTCCATTTAAATCAACAGAATCTAGCGACCAATCGTTTTTATATGAGTTCATATAATTGAATCGTTCATTTCATCATACCTACTAGATTTGTAAATTTTTCAATTCGTTTTATTTTGTGTGAATTGCACAAATATACTCAGATGGAGTTGTGATATACTTAGTACTAGAATATAACTAAGTGCTCAATAATTTCGCTCACATGAAAAGAACTGATAAACATATATTCTTTATTCAATTTTTGCAATTCATTGAGCTGGAAGCTTTCACAAGCTTACCGCCAGAAGCTTTCTGTTAAGATCTGCTTATCAATGTAATTTGTTATCTACGATTAACAGCATTAAATAGATAATGAAGTCTTGTTATCAAAAGAATGCTTAGTCGTGTTCTGAGAACACATACAGAAGCATTACTTCAAATAAACCAAAATAATCTTTCTTTCTTTTTCTTTTATTTCTTATTACTAATCATCAAATTCTGTTTTGTGTTTAGTTTATATGCTTGAAACGTTTGTTTTTTTTTCTTTCACATATGATTGAATAATTCTATTTGAATTCAATACTAAAATCATCGAGCAAATAACGTATACATGTTTTGTCGTTAGCAATATCTTGATGGTTATCAAACATCTGATAATTACAAATTTCATCAGCACTGACATTATTATCATCTGATAATTTTTCTTATCAATTTATGTTCAGGAACTAGTAATAATTATGTTTTCATTTCAGATTAAAAAATACAAACTATTGAATTATAATGCAAGAGGTATCAAATGTATTTGAAGTATTGTTTTGAATTTAAAAAAAAGAACCTTTATTTTAGTTATCAATCGATGAACAGGAGGAAGAAAAAACCGGACAGCATAATTCTCCGACATTATCAAGTAATGATGATTTAAGAGAATTATGTTTTTTACTTGATGCTGAACGCAATAAAATGCATGAGTTAGCTGAACAATGGAAACAATTCGGTACAAGTACAATACATAAACTTGAATGTCAAATAATTGATTATCAAGAAAAATTAAATGAACTTGAACAACGACAAATATTACTGTTAAAAGAAAATGAATCACTTAAATCTTATATTAATCAAATGATGTTAACAACAAATTCAAATGAAAATTCTTTAAAAGATGTAAAGATTTCAAAAAGAAAATGAAATTCATTAGATTTATTTTTGTAATTTCTAATAATTTATTTTTCTTTTTTAGAAAAAAATTCAACAAAATGCTTCTACCCAAACACATTCTGAGAAACATGAAATATCACATCATTTATGTTTTCATCGACCAAAACCAATTTATGATCGTTTATCACGTACAACAGCAGCAACAGTTCAACCAAAAATTTCAATCAATAAATTAACACGTCAAATGTCAATCGATGATCCACTACAACAACAAATTTCTATTCAAAATATGTTTGATGCAATTAAAGTAAATAATGAAACAAAAAGAAAAAATTTTCTCTTTCAAATTCTTTTCCTTTGTAAAGACAGCTGAAGTTTATGAATCAATTGAAGATATGGTTGGAGATAATGATGAATCAGAAAAAAAATTACTCAAAGAATTTTGTAATGTAAGTTTAAAACGTGTTTAAATAGAAAAAAAAAAGCATTACCTTTCTATAAATGGATACATTTTATTCTCGATCAATAGCACAGGAAAAGACATCGATTTTTTTTCTTTCACTTCCTATACAAATATTTTCTTTTTAATTTATATTGGCCTTTAGATTTTTTTTCTAATGAATAATATGGCTTTTACAACTTGTCTACGATAAGTGTTGACTGATAAAGATATATTATTCGCCTCTAAACTGAAGAACAGACGAAGATCATTTTTCTTCGATTGTAATAATAAATGAATAGAACACTTTTCCTTAATAAAGAAAAAATAACCTGTGGTTTGAAATTGATTATATATATATCTTATATGTACCGCTTTTTTCTTTTGTTCTAGCTCATTTGGAAATACCTCGAAGATCGCTCAAAGCCGAAAAGCAGTTGTTTATTATAATCAATTCACGACTTCCTTTTAGTTGTCAGATAGCACATGAAATTCAATTGATTTTTTTTTTGACATTTGTTCGAATTTTTAAAATAAAAAATTATTCATATGAATATACCTATACAATAAACTAAATGAAAATAATAAACAAATAAACATAGGTACAAGACGAGTTGATGATGATATGATCGTATATTGATCATTTGATGTTTTACTTTTAATAATTTTTGTTTCTTGAGTACTTATCTCTGAAAGTGTTGTTGGTGTTGTTATTGTTGTGGTGGTGGTGGTGGTTGTTGTTGCTGTTGTCATAACAGTAGTAATTGATGTGATTGAATTAATTATACTAGAATGGAATTTTGACGACGATGATGATGATGATGATTGAAAATGTTGTTGATTATCACTTTCAATATCAATATCTTCATCTTCGACATAATCTTCATCATCAAAATCATTTAATTCACTTGCTTTTCTCATATCATTACGAAAATCATATATAGCTTGTTCTGTTAAAGGTAAATTATCTTGTGAACGTAATACTAATGATGGAAATACCTGATAAAAATCAAAAAGAATTCATTAAAGATCACATTAAAAAAAAATCTTTTATTGGTCTTACATTAACCGCAAAAAATGATGATGATGATGATAATGATGATGTATTAACATTTTCATGCATTTGACACTGAATTAATCTAAAATAGATAATAATAGATGATTGTCTATATGAGTTTTTTTTCAACGATAAATATATAAACATTTTTTACCGTGTTGTTCGAAGAACAAGAAAAATAAGTTTCCATAAATGATAACAATCAAGAAAAGATGAGTCAATTGTTGGAAACAATTGCATTTTTTTTTATTTGTTTATATCAATAGAATGAACAATGTATGAACATCATATATTGTATGTATGTAATATGACTTGATCTAAACAGTTCAAGTAAGTGATAAGAAGAAATATTTCATGACTGATAGGAAAGCAAAAAAAAGAAAAGATTGTCATTTAAGCTGACACTTTCGTGTTTGTCGATCCAAACAGAGAATATAGAACATAATCTCAATCAAAGTAGCAATGAGCAATCATCAGAAGAAGAAGAAAAAAGAAAAAGAAACCACACGTGAGTACCAACTCGTTCAGCAAGTGATTCTTGAATAAAACAAGAGGAACACAACGTACTATTACTTCTAAATTAGTCAACGCATAGAAACGACAAGACTTGTTGACAAACTATTATTCTGTTACATTTTTCTGCCTTCATCGTTTTTTTTCTCGTATGCCTTTTCCTTTTTTTCCCTACTCTATAATCTGTTTCTAGTGATATATCGATACGTGTCAAGCTCGTTAGTTGATGACTCCTTGATAGAAAAACGAATTAGCACCTATAGAGTTTTTTGCGTTAATGCTCTTTTCTGATCATATATCAATCGTTGATTCAGTCTTATACCAAAAGAGCTACTCATAAACAAGAAATTGATCGTCACAGGGGATCGCTTAGACATTCATGTTAACCTCTCAAGTCGCTTATTGCTATCCTTGTTTGTCCCAAAGCACCATCTTACTTTACTCCATCTCTCTCTCTCTCTCTCTCTCTCTCTCTCTCTACTTCTTGTGCATTTTTCATTTCCGCTATAATGATGCGAAACGACGCATAAGGGGTTCAATGACTGTGCGTCGTACGGTATGAAAGCATCATTGTAATAAACCCGTTGTATTGAGATGCGGAAAATCGTTATGAACAATTCTTTTTTTTTTGGTTCTATATTTTTTCTTTTTCTCATATATAAAAGCAAAGCTCGAGAACATTTTCGATGTTTTCTTCTCTCTCTCTCTTTCTCGCTTTACTCTACAGATCTACTATGGTGACTATTACTTATTAGAAGCTCTTCAATAGAAAAGGAGACGGAAGATGAACGCATAAGAATAAGCGAAGCAGTTGGATGCGATTGAAAAACAATTAGATCTCGACGGGTCTATTCAATGAATGAACGTGACATTAACCTGAAAAAAGATGAAATGATAATGACGTTCATAAGTAGAAGAAGAAAAGAAATTTGAATCCATATGATCGATGAGATTTAAAGCAAGAAAGTGATTGATAAGATCAACTTGATTGAATGTATTATATATTAAACAAGTAGTACTTGAACTAATTTGACAAAATTGTCAACAAGATAGTTTATGTTGTATTATTCCTTGCCTTTTCTTTATATATGCATATATTTATTTGAAAGACAACAAAAAAAGTAATAATCGATGTTATAATCAAAATATCAATGAACGAGAAAAAACAAATCAACCATTTTATGTTTCAGTAACATCTTTCTTAACGTCTTCCAAAAATGCTTTCATACCAACATATGTTTCATGGCACACACCAGGTGCTTGCTGTGGTGGTAAAACAAAACCAGTTCCTGATTCCTCTAATTAATCAATATCAAAAATAAAAGAATATTTATTTTCAAGAAAAAAAAAATGGTTACGTTGTGATGGTGGAAGTTCAACTGTATATGAATGACGAATACCTAAATCATCATAAGCCCAATCAACAGTACTACCACTAGCAATATCTAAACAAAAAGAAATAAATAATTTTGATTTTATCATAGCTAAATATAACTAACTTACATAACACATTAGAAATACTACCAACTGTATACACCCTATGACCAGTAACTCCTTTAATAGCATCTGCACCTTTTTTTCCTGCTGCTAAATGTTTTTGATGATCAGGTGGAAGTTTAGTTGAATAACCATACTAAATATTTGAAATCAAAAATATCTTCATAAAAAGGAAAAGAAATTTACCGGTGTCCTAAAAAGAAATTATTCAATAAAGATTAAAGCAAAAGAGCCAAAAAAATTACAGTTTACTTACAACCACAATTGTCCATATGAATGAAAAGACATATACAGATCCCATGTACCTATTTTTGAATTAAGAAAATTAGCCACATTTTTTGTTTCAATTTCGCTTTCAAGTGATGAACCTATCATAGAGGGAAAGAAATAAAATATATATATCTATATAAATATCAGAGTTGATTTCTCTTGATAGTTACCAGCGAATGTTTCGCTGCATGGATTGCTGCTAGCACCACCTGACAGAAAATAAAAAAGGAAAAAAGCAAGACTAAAAGAAATGCTTGTTCGAACTGTTTCTCTTCTATACCTGTCATCCATTGCGTTCGATAATTACGATTGAGATCAACACCATAACAACCAACAAAATTATTGTTTTTACGATTCTTACGCCATAACCGAGTCTAAATAATTTATTGTTGTTTTAATTAAAATTCATATTATGAAATAAATGAAACTTACACTACTTCGACTAAATTCATATCCTTAAATAATAAATCAATAATAAAACAATTTAATCTATTCATGATTTCTTACCATCAGGATTAAGTACTGGAGCAACATAAACAGTCCAATAATTGAGTAATTCTCGAATTTTAGGGTCATTTTTCTTATATTCTTCAATTAATTTATCAACCATCCAAACACATGTAGCTGGTGAAATCCATTCTAATTTATTGAAGAAACGAATAAATAAAATGAAATATATTTTTTATTCTTCTTATACCTCTTGCATGAATACCACAATCGAACCAAATATTTCGAGTTGATGATGGATTAAATTGTATTGAAATAACTTTTAATTGTCGGTTCTCATAAGTGTTGCCCATGTTAGTAACTTTAATATGTGTTGGATCAGCATTTGCTTTATCTTGCATAAATGTTAAAATATCATCATAACTAGCATATGCTCCAACAATATCTACTCTAGTTTGTCCAAGCCAACGACTTTTCATTTGTCTCATTAAATAATCTCTTGCAATTTCTTGCTGTTCATTATCAATAATTGCTTGTAAATCATCAATAAGAACATTAAATGGCAATGAATGTTGTACAAATTGTGAAACATATTGATTAAATTCATTTGCTTTTATATGAACATCAACTGGTTTATGTGGTGCTGTAATTTCAGTCCAAAAATCGAGTGCAGTATTTGTTTCAAGATCTCGGAGATATTTTATATGTTGATCAATTAATGGTTCTAAACGGACTAATTTATCATTAACATATAAACGGTTGGCTTTACTGCATATAACTATAGATATAAGAGTAAAAGCAAAAAAAAATAGTCGATTCATGGTGATAAACAACAAAACAAAAAAATCTGATGAGAATACAGTAGATTATATAGATACCAACGAAGTGTTTTTTTTTCCTTTGTCATCCTTAACCTTCCATTGATTAAATATTATATTATATGATAAAATATTGAGTGGGTTACGCGAACATTTACCAGATGTTTGTCCATGGTCATACTCAATTTTTTATTTTTATTTTTTATTTTCTAGGTTTAATTTTTCTTTTTTTAAAGATAACAAAAAGAAATGAATTTTTTTTTTTTTGAAAAAGATAGGATTCAAAATATTACAATACATTTACAGAAATTATTTATGAGCTAACAGTATCATAAATTGGCGCAACAGGAACACTTGCACCTGCTGCTGATCTATTTGAGGTTGATTCATATACTGAAGCATCATCATGACTAGGTAATAATTGTGATCGTTCACTTGATATTGGTGGACGTGTTACAAATCGACGAAATAAATGTTCCCATACACCATTATATATACCCATACCAACAACCAAAATTATAAAGCCTAAATCAATAAAACAAAACAATAATAATACAAAAAACAACTTGTTTTCATAAATTAATCCCAAAACATATATTCTCACCTAATACTTGTAATCCATAAAAAGCTTGCCATTGTAATGCTAATGATACAATCCAAATAATTAATGTTCGACCACTATCAAGTACCATACGTGTTGTTGATGATAATTCTTTAGTTACACTGATACCAGCAAAATTAAAGAATGCGATAGATAAAATATTTCCTAAATGACAAAAAATAAAAAATAGAAAATCAACATACAAATCGATAAATCTTGTTTTCCTTCTAGTTTAAATATTTTCTTACCGATAGTTGCAAGAATAATAATCCAATTACCACGCATTTGACAAAATGCTGATGGAATATCTTCAAGACGATGATCCGGACCAGAATTTGATGTTGGAACAATAATAAAATAAAACTAATATGTAAAAAAAAAATAAGCAAACATATACAATTGATATTATAATCATAAAAATATTACTGGTATTAGAAGAAGACCAAGTGTACAAAATCCAAATATTCCTTCCCAACCAACAGCTTGTAACGGTGGAATATTATATTTACCAATAAAACGTTCTTCATATACTACCTATATATATATATAAACATATATCAAATGAACAATACTATTTTTTTTAATTTCTACTTGAAAACTAGTAAATAACATTCCAACAAGTATAAGTGCGTCACCTGCGATTTTTTCTGTATTTGTATGACTACCTTCCGGATGTTTTGAAAATAAAATATCTGATACACCAACAATAGCAAGACCAATAACAACTGCAATAATACCAAGCCAATGTTTCCATGTTAATTTCTTTCGAAGAAGTAAAACACTAAAATAATTTTGAACATTAAAAAAAACATATAATTTTTTCTTTTGCTTTTAAAAATTAAATACCTAAGTATAGCAGTAAAAACCATAACTGAACCTCGTAACATTTGAAATGAACTTGCACTTGTATAATTTAATGCAATATAAGATAAACATGTGGAAAGCATATCACATATTGATGCAATCCAAAATATAAATGGATTAAATGTTTGTTCACCATCAACTAAATGTATATCTTTTTTTATATGAATTGGCCAACAACGAACTACAGCTGATGATGCATCACCTGGATAGACCATTCTTTCAATACGATAACGTGCAGTTGAATACCAGATAAATTTAAATACTAATAAACATAAAAATTCACCCAAAAACATGCCAACACCCTAAATTTTCTTTTCATTTAAGATATATTTAAAAAAAAAAGTTATCTACTTGTAGAAATGGATGTTCATATGTAATATTTGCGCCGGATCCATCACAAAAAAGAGATGTTTGTCTAAATAAACAGTAAATATAAAACAAAGGAAGCTTATAAAATTAAAATAATCAATACCGATCAGCCCATTTTGTTGATAGAGTATTGATACTACCAGTAATTAACATAAGACCGGCTAAAAATAATTGATACGGAGTAAAAGCCATTATTATCTACAAAAAAGAAAACAAAAATAACATTCGAACTTTTTTCTGTATTGTCTTTGTTTTTATTCCACTCTGATAACTATTATTATGGCCTGAGTACGCTCTATTATACAACATTAATCACAAGTAGATTGTCTGCAGACATACGTGTTATGCATTAAGATAATCATTCTTTTTCATTTTTATTTCTGTTTCATCAAGCATTCACGAACAGAACAAGAAAAGTCATGTGAAGTTCATATTACTATTTATGTTGTAGAATATATCTGATTTCGTTTTTATCATTATCAAAATTATTATAATCGTATATAAATTTTCGATTATTTCGTTCTAAATAATTAATTAAAGATGAATAACGAACATGAGATTGATTAAAAGAATTATTATTTTTAATAGTCGATATCTTTTTCATTTGTTCTACAATTATGTTTCTTCTATTCAAATGATTATCATTGAATAGAATATATCTATAACATCATATTATTCATATGTTTGATTATGTTTGAAATACTTACATAAATATAGGTAAAGTTAGAAAATGAAGAAAAAAAGCAAGAATAAATATTAATTTCGGATAGGTACTTATTGTATATGAATAAAGAATATTAAATAAAAGTGATCCAATCAATGCATCAATAGATTCGAGTGATGCAACAATAGAAAAGATTTTACCTTGAAAAAGGAAAAACAAATAATATCTTTTCTTTTTATCACCAAAAACAATTAATAAATACCTTCTTCGTCAAGATTACAAAGTTTTGAAATATATGATCGAACACCTACAACAACATATGATGATAACATACCGAATAATGGGACTAAAATCGAAAACTTATTTTCAAAAACAAAACAAAAGATTTTATTTTCGAATTACTCATAAAAATAAATGTTTTTGAATGATTCATAGCATAAAGAAAATCACTTGTACATTTTGTTAATGTACCAAGAATTGCACACGTCATATCACTTATATTAAATAGATATCGTAATATTGGTAATAGAAATAGTAAACCAAGACCAAGACCAAATGATTTTAATCCACGAAATATTCCATAAAGACTTTGTGAAAAAGACAATGGTGATTTTTTTAAATAAAGATAAATAACTGATGATTCACCTAAATTTCAAATTGAGACAGATATGTTAATTTAAAAGAAAAATAAACTGATAAATTATAACTGCAAAATACTCTTTATCTATTTTATTTACCGATGCTTGTTAAACTAAATTGAAAAATTATATTTAGATATGAGCAGATATTTGATTAAGGAAAATTTAATATTTTTTATATTTTCTATTTAGTAACGCTCCTACAAAAGTTTCATCTATGACAAATTTCATGAATACGAAAAATAATGATTTTTCTTCTGTTGAATTGGATATTACTGATTGTACCATTTCTCTATAGTTCGTAAAGGAAAGAATTCAAAAGACTAAAATAGTTTTTAATAAATATTTAAAACATGTATCGTTCTTTTTTTTTATAGGAAACTTCCGATTTTATCAATGATTTTTTATTATCACAGATAAAAATGTCTCTCTAAAATAGATAAGAAATACTAAAAACATGGTAAATATAAATTAATATGGTTTGCTTCATATATGAAAGATGTCTCGAAAGTCAACAGAAAACTAAAACGCAAACATTTCTTGTAAGTTACATCACGTTTTTACAATTTTCACTTTAGTTTCTATTGAGTATATTTTAAATAAGATCTATCAGTCTATAACTATTTGAAATAATCATAGGTTTTATTAATAACAAAATATGATTGATATTTAAGATCATGAAACAAAAAGCACCAGGTTAATTTGAATAAAGATACGATATCTTTTTTAAACATAATCCGTTTCTTATCAATTTTGATTTGTGATTAGATAGTTGAAATTTAATTCCTATCAAAACAATGTTTCTTTTAACTGTTTCAAAACACAAGCTATTCATTTTAAAAACCTTAACGAAGTCAAGATCAACTTAAATTACAAGAGATGCGTCCTTTTGTTTTTTAAGCATTCTCTTCAATCTATTGCTTGATATAGTAACATGTTAGACGAGAAAAAAATAATGCCTTCTGGCTAAACATGAGTGAAACCAGTCATTTTTGGTCCCGGTTCCGTCAGGATCGCACTTATCTGGCTCATATCTACTTATAACTAATAATTAACTTACATGCTAGATAATAGACCAAATATTGCTAGGAGAAGATATTTTCTTTGATTAAATTCTCTTTGTTTAAATAAAACACGAAATGAATCTTTTATATCATTACAAAAAAATAAAATTTCATAAAAATTCTTGTATGATTTCATATTGTCTTTTGGTTGAATAACTTCTTTAACATTAAATATAATATATATAATATTAATAAGATGAACAAAAATAATAAATAAAAAACAATATTGAAAATTTGTTAAATCAATTAATATTCCACTTAATATTAAACCAATTGTTGAACCAAACATTAAACATGATTCAATAATTGCAATACGTTGTGTACGATTTTCAATTGTTGTTATATGTGATATATAATTATAAACTATTGAAAACATTGTTGATGTTGAACCAAATAAACTAAGCAATATATTTGATAAAAATAAAATTTCTAATGATAAATTATATTTTATAATTGATACAAATAAATTAACTATTGTTGATAATATACAACCAATACTTGCAAATATCATTGGAATTTTATGAGAATATTTATCTGACCATACACCACATATTATAGAAATAAATATTGATGGAATAGAATAAACAAAATTAAAATACATTACATAAATAGATGCATATTTTTGTATTGTATCTTCCATGTTTTCATAGATATATGTTTTATTGAGTTTAATTAGATTCATTGAATTACATAATGATATATTATATAGTTTGTAACAAACTTGTCGATAAAGAAGGGCTTCATCTGTTGGAATATTTACATAAATTGCTAACATATAAAGAAAAACAACAGGCTCAATACTAATGGATTTCCACCAAGGAATAGCTTTTTTTGATGTAAGATCTATGTTTACTCTTTTTTCATTTGATTTTATCATGATTTTCAAGTAGATCAAATATCATAGACATGTGATATGATAAATGCAGATAATCAATCAATCAAGGATTCGTTATTATTGTGAACGGAAGGTTTTCTTGCAATAAGAGGTCGCTATTCAACAGAGAAAATTATTTTCTTATTTATTTCTATCGAATCCATGTCAAATTTTTAATCATTTCCAAATGAAAAAAAAAAAAGAAATAATTTCATTTGAGAATTGTCGCATGTGTACATATAAATGAATATGAAACAATTTATCGTAATATTCTGACAAGTGATACAGATATATATTGATGCTGAAAGACCCTGATGAACTATGAATACTCGGAGAATAGTTCAAGTCCTTGGATTATTGCTGTCGAGCTATTGCATTTTATGGCATTTTTTAAAGAAGAATGCAGTAGTCTTCCACATAACTAATAATCATTTAATTTTCTTTGTGTAATGTTTTGTTATTAAAAAGAGTGTTTGATATTTTAGTATGTCTTAGAGTAGAAATGAATTGTTTAAGTTCAATAAAATTATGCAACTTTTCATTTCAGATTCAACAATCATTTATATTATTTTTAAAAACTATATTACATATTAAACAACGATGTTGATTCGGTACACTCATAAAATATCTACTTTTCATTATATACAAATACATCTAATATAACTTATCGAACTGATTTAGACTTTCAGTATACAAACAGAAAATAACCATACTAGAAATCTTTTTCTTTTATCATTCATAATGAGAGCAATTGATCAATGAAACATAAATAACTATTGCAATACAAAATAATCTCTTTAATAAGATTTTCAATGTTTATTTTCAGCCAGTCACACAAAATTAATAAAAAAAAAACAGTTTTTAAGATATATTAAAAGGGGTTTTAACAAAAACAATTTTCTATTTCTTTTATTTATTCACGTATTTGCAAAAATGACATCCAGAAAATTATAAAACTATATTGCATTGAAAAGTATCAGAATAGAGCATCCTAGTCTATTTTTTAACAACGAATATAACTTGCCAAATAAGAAAATATACAATGAAAAGAGATCGGCAGCATCAGATGGGACAGAAACAAAATTGAGGGCATATAGTTGCTAGTTATAACCTATCGGACAGTAGAATTGTTTATAGATAAGTGATCGTTGTACTGAAAAAGATTATATGTTAATATAAATGAAATTGATTTTATCCGTTGAAGTTCATTGATTCACATTTTGATAAAAAAATACAACAGTTGTGTTTCGAACTATTCAACTAAGTAGGAAAAATCATCAATAGATAACTAAGACTAGTGCTTTGTCTCTCTTTGGTTTCTTCGTTTTTTTTTGCGTTTTCAAATTTCCAGGTGTTTTCTATATATATAAAACGTGCGTGCTCCATTGGTTTATGTGGGTATTTTAAGCCCCCCCCCCCCCCTAAAAAAAAAAGTCAATTTTCGTCAAAAATTCCGAAAGTGAGATAAATACATGGGGAGATAGCCCGTCATCTGCTCTTTCATAAACGATAATTTGTTTTTCTCATCAATTCATTTTTCCCAAAAAATGTTCAAGATTTCCGTCAATCCCTATTCGAAAAATAGCTATTTTTTGAAAAATCAAAAATGTTTTCCATTTTTTCTCAGTTTCCGCTTTCTCAAAAGCGCATCCCAAATTTCTCCTCCCTGGTTCGTTCAATATATTAATATATTTTTTTTTGTTTGAAAGAGCATCTCAAGGCGCAGGGCACAGGGAAGCCGCTTTTTTAAATTAAGCCTTTGTTTGGTCAATATACAGCCAGCTATATAATTTATGTACCATTTTCTGACACTTTTCAGTCATGGAACTTTTGATCCTTTTTTGCGCTTAAAAAAGGACTCTTTTAAAAAAGCGGCCTCCGCATGCCCTACGTCTTGAGATGCTCTTTCCAACAACAGAAAAATATTAATATTTTGAATGAACCGGGACCGAGAAATTTGGGATGCCAAATGAGTCATTTTCGACCCTTGTTGGGCTCATATCTCCCTAAAACCTGAAGATTTCGGGCTGAAACTTTTATGGTAGTCTCCCCTTTCTAGTTCCAACATACCCTGAAAGTTTCATCTAGTTTGGATGTTCCTGGGCTGAGTTCGATTTTTGAGGGGGGGGGGGGGGGGGGATTAAAAAACGAAACAACATAAACAGGGTTATTTTTAACAGTTTGTCATTTGACCATTTTTATCTTTATTGAAGATTAAAAGGGAATAGTTGTAT